AGCAGCAGCGCCACGGCGCCGGCGTGGCCGCGCCCCGCCGCCAGGTGCAGCGGCTGCGCCCCGTCCGATGCGGCGGCGCGGCCCGAGGCGCGGGCCGCGAGCAGGGCGGCGAGCACCGCCGCGTGGCCGCCGAGCGCGGCCAGGTGCACGGGCTCCTGGGAAAGCAGCCACGACGAGCAAGGAGAAGAATCGGAACCTTCGGCGGTGGACAAACCTCCCTTTAGTGAGCCACCCTTTCATGAAAACGGCCTGGGACCGAAACCGACGGACCTGGACTCGCAAAAATGACACCCGCGACGCCTTCTCGCGAACCGAAAACGGCCAATTCACTCATCGACGTGTCAGGGTAGGAGGTCTATCAACCTCCGGAGCCTGCGCGAGATGGCACGGCAACCTGACGCGGTGGCTTGCGCGGGCCGCCATCGCCGCACGCCGCATTGGGAACGAGAGCGCTGGCGTGCGACCTCACGCGGGCAGCTTGCGCGCGAAAGTCGGCGCAGTCGACCCCGAGTTTCTTCCGTCGCTCGAGTGACAACCAAGCCACCCTAACCCAACCCGAAGTCGCCGATGGGCCTGTCAATCTCCAGCGGGGGGGGCATTCCGGAAACATTGCGAAAATCACAATGGAAGAGGTACACCCCCAACCCGAACGTTGGCTGTGTCTGAGACCTTCGGATTGGACAAATAAATAAGACATGAGGCACCGACGCCGCTGCCCTTGCCTCGTTTTCGTCCATCTGCGAGGTTGTTGGCAATTTTCTACTGTTGCGAGCCCTCGCCGTGCCTCGGGGCCGTCCAAAACGAACTCGGGATGAAAAACCGGCTCTGGGAAAGTGTTTGGGCTCCAAGGACCCTGCATAGCAAAAGCCAAGACAGCAGGCGCATGTCTAGGTACCACTGCCCTTGCCTCGTGTTCGCCTTCGTGGGCCTCCCAGGAGGCGAACATGAGGCAAGGGCGTTGAGAGTTCTCGCGCCAGGAGTTGCCGCTCGGCTTCGGGCCCCAGCGCCATCACAGATCGATCCGGCCCCGAAAATGGCGCAGATGGGGTCCAGATGGGGTCCAGGGCTCTGGGGTCCAGGGCTCTGGGCGCTGATGGGGTCCAGGGCTCTGGACGTCGGATTTAAGGGGGTATCGATACCGCTGCGTCCAGGGCTTCTCCCAGGGCGCTTTCTGACCAGGGCCGCGAGGCGAATCCAGCCGTGGCGACGAGGGCCTCCCAGGAAGCCCACGAAGGCGAACACGCGGCAAGGGCAGCGCGACCCCCACGCATCCGATGTCTTTACTCTTGCAAGACGGGGTCCCAGAAAAACCGACCCTTTCTCCCCGGGGCATGTTTTTCATCCCGGGTCCGTTTTGGACGGCCCCTGGGCCCGGCGAGAGCCCCCAGCAGCCGAAACTGCCAAACACCTCGGAGGTGTTTGAGAGTTTCGCCCCTCGCCGCGTGCTCGCCTTCGTGCGCCCCCCTGGGAGTCCCAGGAGGCCCACGAAGCCGAAACACGAGACGAAGGAGGAGGAGGAGGAGGAGGAGGAGGAGGAGGAGGAGGAGGAGGAGCTCCAGGCCACCGCGCGCGGGGTCGCGCGCGGAGGCCCGGACCCCGAGCAGCCACGCGACGACGGGCGCGTGGCCGTGCTCTGCTGCCAGGTGCAGCGGCCGCACGCGCGAGGAGCCCGCCGCGGGCGCGTCGGGCGTCGCCCGCGCCGCGAGGAGCCACGCGGCCGCGGCGAGGTGGCCCTCCGAGGCCGCCGCGTGCATGGGTCGACGACTCCGAAGGGTGTGTGGTCTCAGAGCTCCGATGCTCTGGCCCCCCAAAAAATGGTGCTCGGCCGCCGTGGGCTCTCAGCGGGCCCCAGGGACCGTCAAGGAACGACTCAGGAGAGGAACAGGCGCCAGACGTCTGGGGTTTGCAAAGGGTGTGGCCTGCAGCCCGCGCCTGGGGAGGGCGAGGACCTCGACGGAGATCTCCGACCGCGCCCCGGTGAGGACCCATCAGACCCGTGGCGCAGCGGCGCCGATCACTGATGATGGGCCTGTTTTCCACTACCACCACCATAAATTGGAGGGGGAGGGGGTCCTCCTCCTCCGCCTTCTCCTCCTCCTCCTCCTCCTCTCCTCCTCCTCCTCCTCTTCGTCTTCCTCCTCCTCGTCCTCCTCCTTCCCCCTCCAAATTATGGTGGTGGAAAACAGGCCCATCAACAGAACAGCACCCCGGCGGAACCACCAGGTGGCGACATCCGAACCCTACTCCCGGCAACTATCCGTTCTCCTGAATCGGTGTGAGGCGGAGGGGTAGGGTTCGGGTTGTCGCCACGCGCTCAACGAACTCCGAACCCACCCCGACGCCCATGGAGTTGTCTGAATCGCGGATCGGCGAGTGGAGGTTCGGATTTCGCCGCCGACCCTGGCTCCGAACGCACCAGTCTTCCAAGCCGTGGCGACAAGAAGGGACCCCCGAGGGTCGTTCACCGCCGTCTCGGCTCGCCCTCCCCCGGGGTCTGGTGCCGCGGTCAGATGGCGGCATCGCGAACGAGCACGAGTCGAGCCCTGGAAGCCCCAGGCTCGGATTTCGCCGCCGAGCCACACCCGTTGGAATCGCCGACATGGGCGCCAGGTCGTCCGGGTCGGAGCGGAGGTCGCCGCCCTCCCCGACCATGGCGGCCGCGAGGTAGTCCGCCACGGCCTCGCCGCGGCTGCCGGCGGCGGCGCCGCCCTTGCCCGCCAGCGCCGCGGGGCTGCGCAGCGCGTCGGGCAGCGCGCGGGGCCCGCGCGAGAGGAGGCCGAGGAGCGCCGCGTGGCCCCCGTGCGCGGCCCAGAACAGCGCGGGGCGCCCGCCAGCGTCGCCGCCCAGCGGGTCCGCACGGGCGGCGAGGAGAAGCTCGGCGGCGCGGCCGAGGCCGCCGCGGGCCGCCTCTCGACGACCCTTGGATCGTGCGTTAGCGCCAACGTGTGCTCGCCCACGGAGGCACTCCAAAACGGCGCAGGCGGTGCAATGAAGGCAAACACCGTCTGTGCGCCATCGGTGGAGCTAAACGGGAGTCTCTCTCTCTCTCTCTCTCTCTCTCTCACACACACATTGGACTAACACACGTCCTGAGGATCATCATCGAGCCTCGTGGAGAGGGCGCAGACCGCCCTCGTCCTGCAGATTGGCGTCCGCGCCCTCAGACAGCAGCAGGCTTACGACCGGCAGGTGGCCGTTGCGCACGGCGGCGTGCAGCGGCTCCTGCCCCTCGTCGCTCCGCGAGCGCAGGTCCGCGCCGGCGGCCCGCAGCTTGCGCAGCAGGGCAACGTCGCCATTCGCCGCGGCGATGTGCGCTGGCGTGGTGCCCGACGCACCTCGGGCGGCGCAGGCCGCTGGGTCCGACTCAAGTAGCAGCTCGACCACGGGCACGCTGCCCGCGGCCACCGCCAGGTGCACCGCCTGTCGGCCACCGGGGGTCCACGCCCGCGGCTCCGCGGCGCGGCGGCTCAGCAGCAGCTCCGCGGCGGGGGCGTGGCCTGCCTCGGCGGCGTGGTGCAGCGCAGTGAAACCGCCCGCGCCGGACACGTCTGCCGTGGGCCGCGCCAGCCTCTCCAGCTCCCGGACATCTCCACGTGCCGCTGCCCTGTCCAGGGCAGAGACCAGGGGCCTCGTCACCACGTTGAACGAGAAGGAGATCCGCGGCTCCCGGCCGCCCACCGTGGAGGAGCCCGGGCCTCTAGGCGCCGCGCCCGCCGCTGGCGGCGGCGCGGCGGGCAGAACCTCGTGCAGGGCGTCCGCGCGGAAGAGCACGGCCACGCCTGGCTGCGGCTCGAAGACTTGCCCATCGCCCCCAGCCGCGTCGCCGGGCTCCTCGGGAAAACGCAGGAGGCCGCCCGACCCGGCCGAGGCGTAGAAGACGCCAGAGACCTCGGCGACGTCCTCGCCCGTGCTGTTCACCTGGGCGTGCCGGTGGGCCACGAGGCCGCCAGTGGTGTCCAGGACGTTCGCCCAGAGCGAGGCGATGTGCACCCGCAAGGCCAGCTCGGGCGCCGCGGGGTGCGATGCCGGGCGGCCGCGGCCGGCGGCGAACGCCAGGAGCGGCGCCTCGAGCTCAGCCCTCAGCGCCGCGAGAGCGGCGTCGGGCCGCGCCTCGAGGAAGCCGCTGTGCCAACCCTGGCGGTTGCTCCTCGACAGGCCCTCGGGATCCTCGCCCCGCAGACGGAGGCCCAGCTCCCTGAGCTGAACGACCAGCGAGGCGTTGCCCACCTGCAGGGCCGTCCACAACGGCAACGCCGCCGTGAGCAGACCCAACCGACAGCGAGACCGAGACCGACCGAAACCTCCTCCTCCTCCTCCTCCTCCTCCTCCTCCTCCTCCCCCTCCTCCTGCTCCTCCTCCTCCTCCTCCTCCTCATCCTCCTCCTCCTCTTCCTCCCCCTCCTCCTCCTCCTCCTCCTCCCTCCTCCTCCTCCCTCCTCCTCCTCCTCCTCCTCCCACGAATCTGCAAAGCGCGGCCGAGGAGGGCGCAGCGACGCAGCAGCGGCGCCTCGGCTGACCGAGCCGAAACGACCGAAGTCAGCCGACTGCGGCGCAGCCGATCCGACCGTGGGCGCCCGCGGCCTGCGCCACGTATGCTGCAGCGCCCAGCCACGCGCCGCCCATCGCGCCCCGCGCGCGCCGAGCGACACCCCTGGAGAGCGCGGTGCTGGAGCCAAAACGGCGGCGGATCCCGTGGCGACGACGACGACGACGACGACGACGACGACGACGGCGACGACGACGACGACGACGACGGCGGCGACGACGGCGGCGGCGGCGGCGGCGACGGCGACGGCGACGGCGACGACGACGATGCGATGGCGATTGCGATGATGGCGGTTTACAATTAGCCCCTGGCGGACAGGCCGCGTAAAATCGGCCGCCGTGCCTCCTGGCACGCTGAGGCGTGGAAGGATGCCACAGTGCTAAGGTCTGCCTGGTAAGTTTTCTGCAATCTTGCAAGGGGCCGCCCCTACCTTTTTCTCATTGATTTTCTCCTCCCCATCAAACGTAACTCCCCTCACGCGCTACCACGCCTCAAAGTGACAGAACACGCGCTGCCACTACACATCGTCACCCCCACGGCAGAGCAGAGCAAACCTGATGCCTGCGGCCACATCCTGAAGGCGCCGACGAGGATGTGCGCACCAGGAGGGAGGAGCAAAGCGGTGGAGGACGCGGGCTGGGAAAAGAGACCAGGGCGTTGTTCGCGGGAGCCCCATGGCCCACTCGGCCATTTCAATTCGCCGGCCCAACGGGCCAGAGGCGTGCCAAGATCTCCGGCAACTGGTTAACAATATTTAATCGCTTCGCTCATTCCGCCGGCCCTGGAGTCCTCTTTAGGGCCTCTTGGGGGCTTCTTGGGGACCTCTTGGGAGTCTCTTGGGGCTCCTTGGCGGCGTCTTGGGGGCTCCCAGTGCCTCTTGGGGGGCTCTTGGGGGCCTCTTGGGGCGGGAGGCGGGGCAGTCGATTGCGGCTCCCCCCTCGGAGGCCAGGATCCTTGTGAGGGGTGTCGAAAAATGGCCCTCCCTTGGAGCGCTCTGGGGACCTGACCGGGACCTGACTGGGACCTGGCCGGGGTACTTTTCGTCCGGGGACCCCCAGGGGCCGCTCCGCGCGCGCGAAGTAGAAATATTGCTAACCAGTTGCCGGAGATCTTAGCACACCTCTGGCCCGTTGGGCCGGCGAATTTCTAGTTCGCGCGCGCAGAGCGGCCCCTGGCGCCCCCCGGACGAAAAGTACCCCGGCCAGGTCCCAGTCAGGTCCCGGACAGGTCCCCAGAGCGCTCCAAGGGAGGGCCATTTTTCGACACCCCTCACGACGTATCGTGGCCTCCGAGGGGGGAGCCGCAATCGACTGCCCCGCCTCCCGCCCCAAGAGGCCCCCAAGAGCCCCCCAAGAAGCACTGGGGGCCCCCAAGACGCCGCCAAGGAGCCCCAAGAGACTCCCAAGAGGTCCCCAAGAAGCCCCCAAGAGGCCCTAAAGAGGGCACCGGAGATCTTAGCACGCCTCTGGCCCGTTGGCCGGCGAAGTTCTAGTTCGCGCGCGCGGAGCGGCCCCTGGCGCCCCCCAGACGAAAAGTACCCCGGCCAGGTCCCAGTCAGGTCGCGGACAAGTCCCCAGAGCGCTCCAAGGGAGGGCCATTTTTCGACACCCCTCACGAGAATCGTGGCCTCCGAGGGGGGAGCCGCAATCGACTGCCCCGCCTCCCGCCCCAAGAGGCCCCCAAGAGCCCCCCAAGAGGCACTGGGGGCCCCCAAGACGCCGCCAAGGAGCCCCAAGAGACTCCCAAGAGGTCCCCACGAGGCCCTAAAGAGGCCCTAAAGAGGGCACCGGAGATCTTAGCTAGCACGCCTCTGGCCCGTTGGGCCGGCGAAGTTCTAGTTCGCGCGCGCGGAGCGGCCCCTGGCGCCCCCCGGACGAAAAGTACCCCAGCCAGGTCCCAGTCAGGTCCCGGACAGGTCCCCAGAGCGCTCCAAGGGAGGGCCATTTTTCGACACCCCTCACGAGGATCGTGGCCTCCGAGGGGGGAGCCGCAATCGACTGCCCCGCCTCCCGCCCCAAGAGGCCCCCAAGAGCCCCCCAAGAAGCACTGGGGGCCCCCAAGACGCCGCCAAGGAGCCCCAAGAGACTCCCAAGAGGTCCCCAAGGAGCCCCCAAGAGGCCCTAAAGAGGGCACCGGAGATCTTAGCACGCCTCTGGCCCGTTGGGCCGGCGAAGTTCTAGTTCGCGCGCGCGGAGCGGCCCCTGGCGCCCCCCAGACGAAAAGTACCCCGGCCAGGTCCCAGTCAGGTCCCGGACAAGTCCCCAGAGCGCTCCAAGGTAGGGCCATTTTTCGACACCCCTCACGAGGATCGTGGCCTCCGAGGGGGGAGCCGCAATCGACTACCCCCCCTCCCGCCCCAAGAGGCTCCCAAGAGCCCCCCAAGAGGCACTGGGGGCCCCTAAGACGCCGCCAAGGAGCCCCAAGAGACTCCCAAGAGGTCCCCACGAGGCCCTAAAGAGGGCTCCAGGGCCGGCGGAATGAGCGATTCCGAAGCGATTAGTATAACCCACACAACGACAGCCAGGAGGGGGAAAGGGAGGGAGGGAGGGAGCGAGAAAGAGAGAGTGAGAGAGAGAGAGACAGAGAGAGAGAGAGAGCGAGAGAGAGAGAGAGAGAGCGAGATTGAGAGAGAGAGAGAGAGAGAGAGACAGCCAGAAGGAGGTCCGCAGAAAAAGAAAAAAAAAAAAATCCCGGCAAAGCAACCTAACAGCGATGTGTAGAAGCATATCTGAAAGCATTCCCCTTAAGACTCAGATGAAAATCCAGTTGTCGAATTCTGCTGTTCTCGCAGTCGTAGTCGCATTCGCGATGACAGTCGCAGCGGCAACGGCAGTCGCAGTCACAGCCTCAGCCTCAGCCTGCCTCCTCCTCCTCCTCCTCCTCTTTCTCCTGCTCCTCCTCCTCCTCCTCCTCCTCCTCCTCCTCTTCCTCCTGCTCGTCCTCGTTCTCGTCCTCCTCGTCTTGCTCGTCCTCCTCCTCCTGGTGCTCTCTCCTCCTCCTCCTCCTCCTCCTCCTCCTCCTCCTCCTCCTCCTCCTGGTGGTCCTCGTTCTCCTCCTCCTGGTGCTCTCCCCCCCCCTCCTCCTCCTCGTCCTCCTCCTCCTCCTCCTCCTCCTCGTCCTCCTCCTCCTCTTCCTCCTCCTCCTCCTCCTCCTCCTCCTCCTCCTGGTAGTCCTCCCCCTCCCCTCCTCCTCTCCTCCTCCTCTTCCTGGTCGTCCTCGTTCTCGTCCTCCTCGTCTTGCTCGTCCTCCTCCTCCTGGTGTTCTCCTCCTCCTCCTCCTCCTCCTCCTCCTCCTCCTCCTCCTCCTCCTCCTGGTGGTCCTCGTTCTCCTCCTCCTGGTACTCTCCCCCCCCTCCTCCTCCTCCTCCTCCTCGTCCTCGTCCTCCTCCTCCTCCTCCTCCTCTTCCTTCTTCTCCTCCTCCTCCTCCTCCTCCTCCTCCTCCTCCTCCTCCTGGTACTCCTCCCCCTCCTCCTCCTCCTCCTCCTCCTCTTCCTGGTCTCCTCCTCCTGGTCGTCCTCCTCCTCCTGCTCGTCCTCCTCCTCCTCCTGCTCGTCCTTCTTCTCCTGCTCCTCCTGCTCCTCGTCCTGCTCCTGCTCGTCCTCGTCCTCCTGGTCTTGCTCGTCCTCCTCCTCGTCGTGCTCTTGCCCCTGCTGAAAATGTGGCCCAGGAATGGGAGTTCTGGGAAGTCGAAGAGCACGAAGTTGCCTACAGTTGGCTACGGGCATTCAAAATGTGGCCCGGGAATGGAGTTCTGGGAACTCGAAGAGCACGAAGTGGCCTACAGTTGGCTCCGGGCATTCAAAATGTGGCCCGGGAATGGAGTTCTGGGAACTCGAAGAGCACGAAGTGGCCTACAGTTGGCTCCGGGCATCCAAAATGTGGCCCGGGAATGGAGTTCTGGGAACTCGAAGAGCACGAAGTGTGTGACTGTTGCATCCGGTTATTCAAATGTGGCCCGGGAATGGCGTTCTGGGATGTCGAAGAGCACGAAGTGTGTGACTGTTGCATCCGGTTATTCTAAATGTGGCCCGGGAATGGCGTTCTGGGATGTCGAAGAGCACGAAGTGTGTGACTGTTGCATCCGGGTATTCAGAATGTGGCCTGGGAATGGAGTTCTGGGAAGTCGAAGAGCACGAAGTGTGTGACTGTTGGTGAAAAACGAGCCCGGCACCCTGCCGCCCGGCAACTCCCCAACACCTGCCCGGACCCCCCTGTGGAGTGATCTGTGAGCTCTTTTGAGTCAACTAGAAACCTATCAGTCTTCGCTGTTAGGTAAAAAAAAAAAAAAAAACGTGCGTGCGTAGCCGAGCATTGCCCGAGGGCGTACTCGCAGAGATAGCCCCCACGCGCTTAACTAACGGTTAAAAAACAAGGCCGCCCACCCAGAGAGGAGGAGCCGAGTCAAACGGGCGAGCTCGAAGTGCGAGAATGTCAACGCATCGCAGAAAGGCATAGAGAAGGACGAGAGGAAGAGCAGAAGGGGACACGCGCAAAGATGTGAACGGCATGGCAAATACAACGAACAATGTGGAGCCACACCTGAAGGGCGCGGGGGACGGGAAGCTCTGAGAGCAAGCCGCCCCTGACGACCCCATGGCGGTGGGCGCCGCCCCGTGGGACGGGGGCTAGCGCCAGTGAACAGAACAACTGAAGAAGAGGAATTAAAGTGTTGCATGCAATGCAAAGCTGTGATCCAAGACAGGGTGGAGGAGAGAGGAAGAGACGGAAAGACGAGGCAGCAAGACCCTATGCCTAGCGTAGCGGCGACGGCCGCATTGGCAGACCTCAGAGGACTAGCCTGGAGAGCACGGACATGAAGCCCATATGGGTGGCACTGTCACCACCCCATAAGACATCACCAATCCACACATCCCAGGTAGATGCAAAGTGAAGAAACCCAGCATGTTCCAGTCCTGACGAGTGGCCCGAGCACCACTTCATCAGCATCCCAGAACAGAAGTACTTCCAGACCAGGAGACGGCGCAAACGACGGACACGGTGACGGGCTCGACGTCGGACGTGGGGTCGGCGCAGGCGTCGTGCTGGCGACGCAGGCGGTGCACGCATTTGAGCGCGATGTCCGCGAAGGAACTGGGTCTGGCTGTCGCCTATGACATCGAAGGTGA